CCAGCGAACAAACATTCATCTAACAATTAGATCATTCCTACTGTTTTCGTTTATTTGCAATATTTTCTCCCATTCTTCGTTTTTCTATGATTCTGTAATTGAATACAGTTTGATGGCCGAAAAAACCTGAAACACGAGATTAATTGTTGATAATCTGAAAAATGTTGAGTCACCAAATCTCTTGTTATTTTACGATAATGAAAACTAGTGTTTTAAAGGCGAATGTGCAGTGATTGTAAGCAAAATGTGATTTGAAATATAGAATACAAGATCTTTATTATTTTTTCTAGGACTTTGACCTCAAAAACCGGTTCAAAGATCAGCGTCCAACACTGTGTTGTAAATGTGCTCAAATTTAACTCATGGGTGAAACATGATACATATGTTTCATGGAATGTATGCTGCATATATGGGATAAGTCTTTAAAAATAAATATGAACCGCAATTCCGTAGGTGTACATCCATGTCGGACATCCTCCACAGTGCAAAGTCATTAAACCTCCCAGGAATCGAATACGGAACCCTCTAGGTTGGACAGTTGGGTGATATCAGATAAAGACTGATTGAGGTGAGATACAAATCGGGATCCCTTGGCGTAATCTGATTTTTCCATCGACAAACCAATGCACATATTGATCGGGCAATCTATTTGAATAATTATTACAACCTAAGCTGCGTTGGCTGCGTACGAGTTTTGTGGCTGTATTAAGTATGACGCCACTTTACATAGGTTCACTGGTTGCTTGCAGTGCAAATAGCACTCAGTGTTGACAGACCTAACACCAATAAAACACGGAAAAAAATTTCCAAATAGCCTCTCTCCTTACAGACTGAAATCCGATTCAGAAACGAAAGAGAAAAGGGATGAGGTTGATAAACCGCGTGTAGAACTATGACGGGATCAGAACGGGAAGTAAAACAAAACCGTACATGATTGAATGGGAGCGATCAAGTGCTATAGACCACCTTTCACGGTCTTGCGGTTTGTGATTTAGAGTCCCGTCACATCCTCTCGATTTTCTCACTAATCGTGTGTTTCCTCACTGTAAGTTATTGTAAGTGCTGAAAACTCATCCTATTGGGTGCATAAAGTTCAAATTGACTTGACTTGATTTGGTCGGTCGAACCTACCCCCCCCCCACTCCCGCGATCCCACCGAAAACGTGGTGTCCGTTGTATTGCTGATCAGACGAATTGTGATTGGTTTTGCGAAGAACTCCGGATGTGTTACTTATAAATTATTCAAATCATTAGAACTAATGAACTCTAGCGGGATCGAAACTCGAGTCAAGTGCTTCCCTAATTAACGGTCCATTAAGAAAATTGAGTATTGTACCTAAAGTTGCAATCAGAAGGATGATCAGTTCAGATCAATACCATTTATTGCATATTACAACTCCCAAGTCGCGGTGAGTGCAATGCGAACGTTGAAACAGCTGTAACTAGTAATTTAGTTCACGTTCTACTTGCTCCCCGAATGTTAAAATCCATTATGCTATAGCATTTGATCAAAGAGAAAAGAAACAAAATAATAATCTCAAACATATTTATTGATTTTCGATAACGTCGAAATCATTCTCATACTAAATAGGCCGAGGTAACCACCAAAAATGGGATTCTTCTGAACTTTCCAAGTTGAAACAAACGTGACTTTAGTAAACACACTGACAGCGATTGGATCCTACATGACACTATTTTATCTGGCTTACGTAGATGACCAAATTTTGTTAATCGAGGATTCATTCAAATTGCAAGCTTTTCTAAATCGTTGAGCGTTAGTTTGATTTCCGTCGTTCTTACTTTAAAGGTTCAAATTGTCTGACACGAGAGGATTTTTATTTACCAGTCTCATTCTGGTGTGCTTTGAAGAAATTACTTGGTTTTCCATCTACTCAGAAGGCTGCANNNNAAGGCTGCATACACAAAGTTATATTTGCCAACTCACGTACCTGTGGTAATCCGTGCCTACGAGATGACGCGTACCTTGGAACGACGCGTTACCGCTTTTGGACAACTGCAATCAATCAAACTTCACGGGTGACGTCAACAACGCGCGTAAGTGTCACTGCCTCTGACTGCCTACCATAGGTAGATCGCACCAACGAATCACACACCGTGCGGCCCAGACAGAAGCAGAACGACGCCAGGAATACTGCAACGCGACTGGTAGAAGCCCGGGAAACCAATGAACTTACTTGTACATTTTATTCACTCCCCATTATTTCTTCCAGTAAATGAATCACTACTCTTGCGGCCTTTTCCTCGCGTCTCAGTTACGTGGGATATTTCGTGCTAGTGCCAGTGCGGTCCAATGCTTACGTGATCCAATCCCTGATTGCTTATCCTTGATTGGTATCCCGTGATCCGAATTGCGTGGTTCGTATTCCGAGTTCAGTGCGTGTTACCATTATTACTACTACAATCATTACAGTGCCTTTCACGTCGTCCCAAAATCCAATTATCAAGGGGTTTTACTGTCTTAGTCCGAGGAGTGCGGCTGTGCACTGAGTGCAAAGGCATGGCTTTTACGGGTAGAATAATAATTGAACAATTTTCAAACACGGCTCGATTTATTGAATGGTGCAAGTCAGTTGAGACGACCAAAGCAGAAATGCAAACATGAGGTTTGTAGCTTCAGGTAACCCCGGCTGCTCATTAATATAAGCTTTTGACCTCCACAGATGGTGATGCTTATGTAATGGGTTACACTTATCCCTGAGTAATCTTTTCGGGACTTTAGTATTGGTTGAACGTTTATTCTGCGGCCTCCTTTTCTTGAACGGCGTGCCCAAGAAAATAAGTTCCTTATTCCTTTTCCTTTAAAGGGGACACCTTTACCTAACTTCCATATTTTTTCACTCGAGTTCTTCTCGGAAAGTAGTGTTCGTCAGGATTTGCTTCTCGCCCCTTTTCTTATCCAACCTTATACTGGATACAACTCTGGAAACAGCCCTGTTCCTGAGAGAGGATAGGGCCATCGATTTGCTCCAAGGTGGCAGCCTGTCTGCACCACAGTTTACTGAAAATACTGTACTGCCAATTAAAGTGCCAGTTAAGTTGAAAACTTCCGGATGGTTTGAGTGGTATATTCGGTATGTACCGAAGTATAAACTGTTGCTACAGTAATGAGTTGGTTCGGTACTTAATCTCACTCCAACTGGAGACGTGTTAAAGAAAGCAAACAAGTTTTGTTATTTGTGCAGCCTCATTTCAGCTGGCAGCCAAGTCACGAGCAGGATTTCATCACACATGCAAAAGGCTCGATTGGCCTATCCCAAGTTGAGAGCGCCGTCGCGAAATCTGGCTACATTTCAATGAGAGGAGGTATGCTTCAGCAATTTGACCAATGCGCTATGAGGCCCTGAAACCTGGCCATTAAAATAACAGGATAAGGATAGACTGACAGTGTTTGAAGACCGCTGTCTACACCTCATGGCACAGGTCTGTTGGGATACCAGAACAAGCAACACTGAGTTGAGGTGCAGAATTTTAGATAATCGTCCGCTCAACTTCCTTAAATTTCGTTGATTGTGGCATGTATTACAAATGACACCAAGTATTTTACCACAGCAAACAGGTAAGTAATGGCTGCAAAAGCTGACTGATGTTCAATTTTAAATATGGCAAAATACAAGAACCTTGGTCAAGAAAATTTCCCACATTAATTACGTTCGGCTTCCTGGATGAGGACATCGGAATCGTCATTAGCGATTGTTAGGAACACTGAGTTATACCTCAGAGTGCCGCGAACAGTTACGCTCGTGCATCTACTTGAAGTCCTTGAATCCTCTAGTTTTGTTGACCTAGACACTGCTTTTACCATTTCATTCTTCCCTCTACTCCTTCATTAAAACAGGTAGCCATAGAACAGCAACGAACCTGCTACACCAAATGGTACGGCTGTCGGTTGTTTGAACTGAACTGAAAGGGATAATTTCTGAGACAAAAGATGGTTTGAATGAGGCTATTGGTGAGCAGAATTGTATCTGAAGTGAAGCGATGAAACTTTTCACCAGAGAATTTCATCATAATCCAGCCTAATTAATGGTAAGAGGCACTGGGTGAAATAGTCAAGTGCTGCCAACAGTAACACTGAGCAATCTAATCACTTTCATTGCATATTTATTTTATCTTCTCTGTATATTTTCTCCGTAATTCAATATTACACTTTTCATCACATTTTCCACTTTCCCTCAAACACCAGATTAGAAGGTATATAAGCATTTGAACTTTCTGAATAGGTTTACCAAAATACGGTAATTCCGTCTGAGGACAGTCAATGGGACTTGCACGTAGAGCCGTAAGGATCCACATACTATGATCAAGAGTGGACACAGAACTTACATTGAAAGTTTTTCTCTTTGGGACACAAACTGATAAACAGCTTGAGGAGTGATTGAGCAGACTGCTGGATGCCACATGCAGAGTAGGTGAAAGCACGAACTCCGCGTGGGAACCTACGGTAACCGTTCAAGGTAATCTCCGCTACTTTCTGCAAATAGGCGACGCGTCAGTGCAAACATTTGCGAGGCGGAACGTTCGCAAATTTACAGTGTCCACTAACGCTTGGGACGTTGGCCACATAACTTCACACCGCAATTTAGACCGCCTTCCGCGATTTATTCTTCATGCGGTCTACCCGAACGTGCTCTCTGGTCCCTATTCACTGAATCGCCTATAAACGTGGTAATTCGAAAAACGGTCCAAGTTTGGAAAAGTTGTAATGCGTCTGATGCAAACAGTCTACCGCAGCTATTTTGGAAGTGATGGAAAAATTCTCAAGGGGAAATTTATCAGACTGATTATAAGACTTGTTAGCAAGAAATTACACCTCTTACATAGAAAATCATTTATAAATTGTCTTCGAAAAGGACAGTCACAATATTTATTTCAGCTGATTCCAATAGTGCCGAAAGTGTTATCATCTGCTTTGTAACGCATAGTAACTCCTATTTGCACTATTCTAGGTTTTGTCTTTCACAGGGCTCATATTGGGCTACATGTTCTACTGCACGTTACCTCCAGTAAAATCGAGCCAAATCTCATCGTCTGTTGGGAGCAATAGGTTGTCCAATTTATTTGGTGCCTGGTTCCAGCATATTCTGAAACAACCCTGGCAATTGATACTCATTGGGTTTGTCTCATTCGCGTTGGCCTGGCTGTTCAGCTGGTTTCTTCAAGAGATTTTGGGCTTTGATGTCAACTGGTCTGTTGCTTTGGCCCAAAAGGCATGCCGATGTTCCGAATGGGTACATCTGTCTACGAGTTTGATGGTCGGATTTGCCAGAATCGCAGGCTATCTATGTGGTAAGTAAATGAGTATTAGTCCCCATACCATTACCATATTGCCGGTGTTCCTAGTCACACTGCAGGTGATCGGTGTGCTTATGAAATAGTCGGCTAATGCACTGTGCATTCAAACAGCTATGGTTTTCACTCATCCATACCGAATATGTTGAATAAACTTGTGACAACCAACAAAACGTACGTGCCCTTGATTGATAGTTCTGGATTTTAAATTTCAAAATTTGCCGTTGTCTTTGTCGAAACAAGTTGAAAGAGCGACTTTTGTTTGTTCTTAGTGGTAGTGAACCTTAAATCCATGGTCGTTAAATGTTCATCTGGTTTTATATGATTATGGAGAACGAAACAGGTTCACAAAACTTCGTTTATTTCGCACGTAGAAGTGGTTAATCACAACTAAATCTGCAAAGGCACAAATACCTGGACATGGAAAAACAAAAATGCACCTGAAATGCTGTTCAATCACACCAGTGAATGGCGCAAAACAATTTCTGCTACTTATTCGTAGAGTTAGTAGTGGATTTCAATTACAAACACGACCTAACATGAATTCTCATTAACCAGGTTTGATTGGTCGATAGAATTTCCCGAATTTTGGGAGAAATTGTTTATTGAATTTGCTATGCATACAGCAATGAGTAGTAAATCCTCTTTACAAAATAGGCCTGCTCCGTGCCGATTAAGTAAAAACATTTCTGAAGCCTCGGGAACTTGTAATATCCGGAAGAAGCTGATTGCTTTTGTTCCAAAATGATTCGCTTACGGCCGAGTTATTTGAAATGCTTACACCGTATTCTAAAACACAGTTACTCCATTTCTGTCTTTTTTACATGCGATTTGTATCTGATGTGAACTCCAGTGATGCCATTGTACATTCTGCTAAAGATGCGGGAAAGCTACAAACATTTTAGAGTTTTGGAGAATAGTTGCAGCTATGTTCAGAAAGCACTGAGTACCTTTAAAGTGTATTATATCTTTGCAGGGTTAATTTACATTCAGGTTCTAATCTCATTCTAATTGTGGGAGCAATAGGGAAAGTAGGTAAATTTAACTATTGAGATAGCCACATCTCTATACCAACCAAAACCGGCGCACGAAAGTGCATGGCTAATGGTTGTAGATGACCTGAAACATCTCATTAGGTGGAAGATTCACAGATGAAGTTTCACCATGCACACACACGGAATTTTAAATTGATCAAATATACATGATTGACAAAAAGAAGGAATCTGAACAAGCGCACAAGAATACTGCGTTTTGTAAATGAAGACTGAAAGCGATTTTTATCCACGGAGCATCTAGTCCACATTGTGTCTGTCCTAACGGAGCTGGACAAAATTGAGCTCCCTCTCGATGGGTTATCTACTTTCTTTTCTCACCGTTTCAACTAAAGACCCCCCTCGGTTTGGTTGAGGAAAATCAGAAAAAGCATTTTAAATGAGTTTTAAAATAGAATTCTGAACTGGTTTCAACTCAAGCTTACTATGTTGAGGTCAAGACCAGTCAGTTATTTGTAAAAACCGTGCATACAAAACATCGAGCTTCTCCATTAAAGATTATTTTTGTTGGTGCTACGACAGCTCATTGATAGAGAGAAATCACTTTAAGGGATCTTTATCAATGAGGAGGTCAGAATGCTCAGGCTCGTCGCAACGATCATTATCATTCGATGGAAACTAATTTTCTGTAATCGAAAAAGAATTGTTCATCCCCTTTGAGGCCACTCCCTCAATCACGTTTATGCTTATTTTTTAATCCGTTCCGAACCGTATATAAACAATGTATTTGCTTGCGATAGACACTAATAGCGATGCAGCAATATAGTCCAAGAGAAATTGTGCAGCGTTGCTATACCGGCTTTACTTTTCAAAAAGTATTGGTGTTTATACTTTTATGCGTGGTGAAACGATTTTGATAACGTGAATGTCTTTTATTGCTTTCAGGTCTTGCATTAGCTCTTCAGTTGAACCCACCGTGGACAAAATCTATATCCGATGCATATCTGAGCATAGCTGTGGTTTTCACAGCTATAGTTGCGTTCTATGGCACAAAAGTTTCTGAATCGATTTGTCGTATGGCTGTGGAATCATGGGCTTCGTCAACTTCACACTCCACACCTGCGAATGCACCCAGTTCCACGCTACTTCTCAGTTCTGTGTTCGAGGCCAGTATGGGACCTCTGGTCGCTGTCTGGTTTATTCCCTATTTTATAAATGTGCGAGCTTCACCGAAAATGTGATCTATTCACAACTGATTGAGTTACATTATTGAGCAATAGTTTTTTCTTGTTAATTTGGACATGGCATCTGACCACCCCTATATCTTCTTGGATTTTCTTTTCATTCGATCAATCTTTTCCACAGCGTTCAACGGGCACTCCTGTTTTGCATTTTGATCTTTTTTCCCCCTCGACTACGTTTTGCACCTACTCATCCAGCCATCCACTCGACTACACAACCACACTCCCTCTGTCTCACTCTGTTTCCTTCACCGAGGGCATAGTGGACGAGTTTTATGTATTCGCCCTGAGTTTGTTTTTGACGTACACTATGCACGATACGTGTGTTCTCATGACCAATTAGCTTGTGGCTGTCATTGAAAAAACATGCTCAAACATATTGAGGTTAGTTGACAATACAAATACATAATTGATTGTCCGCGAATACACATACATGCTGTCTAACCCGGAACTGATAATGTAAAACACAAATGAGATCTCCCTTCAATTTAGGCTATTGAATGCCGAGTATTCGTTGCATTCTTCGACACACCGTGAAAATCAATAGTTGACCAGACAGACAATTCCCTAGTTTATTGATGGAATATGAATTTTCCCTACAAACACGCTTAAAAGAATCAGGCAGCGAGGAAGGTGATTATGCCTGACTAAAGGAAAATCCAAAGGTGTGTTCACAGAGTCACAATTTTTACAACCATAGATGATATTCACCTAAACCATCTGATCACAATTGACGAGAACCAATAGGAAACCAGTCGCTGTTCAGCAAAGGTCAGAAAGCAAAGCAGTTTCAAAATCCCGAACTTCGACTTTGAATGAGTGGTGGGCAATATCAACGTTTCATATTAACCGATTTTCGTTCACCTGTAACGGCTCAAAATGAACACAGCGACAATTCACATTTCAATCCGGATATGACGGTTTCAATTCAACCACAAATCTCCTTCTTCAAGTATTCGAAATTTTTCGACTCGGTAATACTGACCGCATGGTTAAGTGCAACGACAAACGGTTTTGTAATAAGGGAAACAGAAACGTTCCATACCAGATTGTGTATAGGTAGTGTGAATAAATAGTTAGATCTTCCTCAAACCGGAATCCATTGCAATGGATTTCGAAAATATGAATCTGTTTTGATAATGCCGATAATCACGGGAATCTGTAAGGAGAAAGATCAAGCATCCAAAACACTCTTATAAACGTCTGTAAGCATAAACATACAGGTGACGTACATAACTGAAAAGATCGTTCGCCGTGTATTTCGATCGTACGCACGATGACTGGAGTATCAGCATTCATTCATTCCTTCAGACCTGCCGGTAATATTTCAGTTATACTATGTAAACGAAACAGACAAAAACACATTCTTGTTGTAATTTGAGTTCATGATTCTAGCAAGTCAGTCAGGTCGAGAAGATCGTCTGTCACATACATATTTTCATGACAAGATTGTGATATTTTCATATTGAGTTTCAAGTTGAAGATGCCAATGATGTATGACTTAGACTGTGCACTCTATAAATAGTGATTCACGGAGAAGCACCATATAGAATGAATGAGAATCCGAGAGCAGTATCAATATAAAAACAGAGGATGCGATTCAATTGAATATGCACAAAAATTGATGATTTTCACAAGTGCCGATGTTATGTTATGTCATCTGGCATCTGTAACCATCGACTAGGCTGGTCCAAGCCTAACTCAATTTGTATGAAGAATCTTTCTCGCTCACATCCCAGTGTCTCGTTGTAGACTGAACACTCCTGGCCTTCCAATTATGGCATGCCTTAACATGCGTAGAACATTGCCTAACCAGAGTTGTGCCACGCGGCGTAGACGGTGGTGTTCCAACGATGGTTGGTTGTGTTTGTCCTCTTACGGTATTTAGGTCAACAACAACCGAATGCCATAGCATCGACAAGGGTGTCTCAAGTTGGTAAAAGCCAACCAAACCTTCTGCAAATGTCCTGAAACTTCACACGGAACTCATCTTACTGGGAGATACAACTGAGCTATTTAGTGTTCTGATGGGATCCTTTTAGTTCTTCATCAGCTTTATCATTTTCAGCAAGAAAGGTGTATATAATAGTTGAGAACGGGATTATTTATTTCGATCATGTTGAGACTTATCAGTCGTGAGAATTTTCGCGTTCTTTTTGACACTCCCACCGTTCTCAGTCCGTAGATTCATGATTCAATTTCCAGTGGTACGCATTATCATCCATCTTTTATGATGTACGTTTACTGACCGAACCCATGCGATCCAACTGTTTATTTACTCACGTATTGTATTGTTTTACAAATGACTTGTGCAGGCAACTGTACCTGTATTTCAGTTAAAATGTTTTCACCGTTACATTGGGATAAAACATGAAATGAAAGTTCATACGTAATAATGATAAAACTTAAACAGGTGTTCATCTTTGTGGGTTTAAAATTAGTTCGTTGCGGATCTTCATCGTATCAGTAAGAATACGAGCCAGATGGGGAACCTTGGAGTATTGCAGTTTTCAGTGTCATAATTTTTTATCTGTAGCCATGTGTGATTAGTTTTTACTCCGAACCATTTACACCACCGCTGCAGTGTTCTTAATTCGTTTGCATCATTATTTTAACCGCTTCCGTTGAATCCAGCTCTGGATTTCACCAGCTTCCTTTGCGAGTTTGCTTTTGGATATTTTCTTCATGACTGAATTTTTTTGGTGAGGTAATAACATGTATGATAAGTTGTAGATTTATAGTTTGGTATACACCATTAACGATTGGCCAATAACAATTCTACATTTGATAGAAACCAACAAGGAGTCTGCAAACAAGTTGCGCAAAATGGTCTGAGTGCAGTCTCCCGCGGAATGTTCTTCGATGTGTAGTAGATATGGGAACAGAATTGGATTTGATCAATTTCTGTCATTGAATACATCATATTCAGATAAATATTTCTATCTTCCAAATTATTCATCAAGGTCTCATAAAGCCTCAATGCTTTTGATTGGCACGTCAACTAGTATAACAGCGCTGCTCTCATCACTGGTGATGTGTTTCATAGGAATACAAACTATTGTTTCATTTTATGCGCTCCACATACAATCGGTTCTTGATATGTTGGGAGAAGGATAAAAATGAATTTTATGGCTTACCTTCCTTGGGTTTCATGTTGTCACTCATAAGTCTGACGTTTTGCGTCCAGCTCGCTAGTCTGGCATCCTTGTGGACAGTCCAGTCACACTGTAAATGATGCTGGCTTGGAGTGAATTGTCTTAAAATTCTTTCGGTGCTGAGATTCAAGAAGGTGATGGTAGTACAAGGACAAATCTACCCAATATATAGCTAAGAAAATAATGGTAGATACAATGCATACCTTTGCGAGTGAACACTTTGGGGAAGTATCTTTCTTCTTTCTTCTTGAGTATGTCGCTGCTGCAGTCAACAATGTCAACAATGCATACCTAGCCACTTACGATATTCAAGTCTCCAACTCTTCAAGACCAACCTCCAGAGCCTTAGAAATATCAGATGATAAATCTGGATTCTCTGTCTTTCGAGCATGTTTAGGCAAGTTTTCTGAATCTGTGGATGCCATTGAGAATCTGTGCTTCATTCTGAATATTGCAAAATTTTGAATTAAATAACACCCGGCTGCCGTTTGTCAGTGTGTATCCTCTGCACTGTCACAGCCGTGAATAGCTGCTGACTTTCTTGCTTTCATGTACTTGGTAAGCAAATTGGTTTTGCATACGTATTTGTCAATAGTTTAACCTCAAATATGGACTAACAGACAATTCCGTGAAATCTCAAATCCACTAAACATGTGACAATCATTTTTCACTGGATGTGACTATTGGAGTCGAACTTATGAAAACGGTTGCAAATGCAACTTAGCAAATGCTCTACGCATACATAGAAATAGGCAAACAACTGTATGCATGGTTATGCTTAGTCGATTGTGGTCTTGTGTGAGTCTCACATATCACTGTCATCATCTTCCGTTACACTACGCATGTCCGTCAAATTGTTTTCCCTACTAATTAGGTGAAAGGAGCGGTTTTCTTTAGACCAGAGACTTTACTGGTCAACACTGGAAGAGTGTGCTATTGTCCTTTAGATTGTGGTACCTTCAGAGGCGGGGTTTCGAAATCTTGTGAATGACATTCCGAAGAGAATCATTCCTACATTATACAGAGTGATTCATCACCTGCTCAGATGAAAGTGCTTGGACGAGCAAAACCTACGCATAGATTTTTACACTTGAATAAAAATTAACGTGCAATCCTTTTGGAGCTAGTTTCCTCCGTTCATCAGCTATTCATGGTGCTAAACTTGCAGTTTGCTGCACTACTAGATCCGTCGTTCAAAATAACTCTAAAGACTGTNCTCTAAAGACTGTTCGTTTCAGTTCAGTTCAGTTTGTACAACCATTAACCATGCACTATCGTGCACCGGTTTTGGTTGCTATCTTTTGGCTGCCCATTTGGATGAACATTAGGAGAAAGACAGGAAAAGTGAAAGTAGGATTGAAGAGAAGAAGAAAAGTTCAGTGGACTAATGATACAGACTGTGAGAAACGTCAATCACTGCTATCGGTACATTCAGATACATACAGGTAATCAAGACAAATTGCGAGAAAAAATATTTGTTTAAAAATAAAACGGCAGTTAACAGAATTTAATCTATGACCGATTGATTTAATCGGTTGAGAGAAAGAGACAAAGTGGATGAAGCCTACAAAACAATGCACATCTAGTTTATCAACGTACTCGGCGGATGTTTTGTGCTTGTGGGGACTCAATAGCGGTGCGTACCCTTTTTGCGTGCTCGGAAGGGTAAGAATCGCGAACCGAAAACTTGACCCCGGAGCCAAACAGACAACGACTAACACAGGAGCGCATGGTCGTTGGGACTGAAGATGCTTTTATTATCCTATGAGAAATCACTGGCACAAAGTCTGTAGTATTTTATCTTTGTGGCTCACGAGTGTAAGGTCTGACTCACAATTGGGAGTA